GTTAGGGACAGATCTAAACCGCAATGTACAATTAAAAGCATGGACCAAAGTCTTTTTATCATCATATCATATGATGGACATCCTCAGAGCTAAGACTCGTTGTAAAATTCTCAAGTTAACACTAAGACAAAGAGAGAAGATGTCTCGTGGACAGCGTCAATCACAACGTCGTATAAAAGTCAGACGGCTGCATTACAACGAGATTCAACCGTGCTTTTCTGATGAGAACGACCTTCGAATCTCTGCTTCATATACTTCCATACGAAATGAAAGTCCCAACAATAAATTCATCTCAGGAGATTAATCGAAACCCAGCTACTTTTCATATGTTTAAATAGCAAGTATAACTTACATTTTATTGGCTATGTCTATATTACACAGTAAGACATTTATGATTCGATTGCCAAAATGTTTGTGATACATTGAATATACATATATATATATTTATATTTATGGTATATTTTAAGTATCTGAAGGTAAGGGTTATGTTATGCATTATAGCCAGCGCTCATAAAAAGTACCCTTTCTTTAAATTGCCAACACCGTGTGATAATCCTAGCAGATACATTGATTTGGGCTGACCCCTTGAGCAAAGTATTCACACGTTTTCTCGGTTTCTCTTGCCATCTCGCTAGCAATAGATCTTATTTATTCTGGTTTCTGTACGTATCCTTATTTCCATAAAATGAGCTTGTAAATGCTTGAAAATTAATTAAAAATAACATAATAATGACTATGAGTTAGGAAAACTTAAACATTATTCGATCTTAGTGGTATGAACTGAACCATACAAAAATGATGTTAAATTCAAATTATAATATAACATATTATTGCTTGAGGTGGGGTTTGCTTATGATGTTCTTAGTTAATGCTCACTTTTCGGTCAGAGTAAAGTTCGGGATATTGGTGGATGATCACATCCCAAAATGGTTATTGGCATAGAAGATTATAATGACTGACCATTAAAACCGATGCGTCCATCTCGTACTCCTCGCACCAAGCTGTATTCTCAGTCGACTACTAAAGCCATACAACTCTAATGAGCGTGTCAGGACAACAAAATAATGCCTTTTTATTTCTGGAAGAATAAGTTAATTAGAACGTATATTTATTTTTTCCTCCCCTTGTCTTTTTACATATATTTTGCATTAATTGAACAGCTCGTGGATATAACATTCATTTTGATTTTCTATAAACTTAGGGCAACTTTCATTTATTTCCTCGCCACATTTGAATGACATTGCACTTGACACTTCTGTCAAGCTATGTAGCACAGACACCCAAAAATCACTTTTTATCCCCTTCACACACCCCCTCTCTGCATAATGCAACCCATGCTCGGACATTATTTCCCTATTCTAAAACCTTCTGCATTTCATAGCAATTTCTCCAAGACAAACTAAGAATGTTATGTAGTCGCCAGACATGCTAATGGCCTTGATTTGAAGTTGTAAGTAAAAGACTGCATTTGTATAAATTTACCAGTTTCGTTGTCATACTGAGAAATAGGTCAAGATAACCATTATACTTTAAATATTTGAAGCAAAATGATGCCTTTTTTTATTTTTTAAAATTTGTGACTGCCTAATTAAATGAGTTTGGATAGTGTTTTCTTGTAATTTTAATCTTACTTCAGTCCATTCACCAACGTCCCCCAGATGAAGCCATCCTTGGTCATCAATAAGTTCTTTAGTTCTCAGCGGATCCTTGTAATAGCCTTTCGTGCAGACTGGACTCTTGACACACACCTTGGGAATATTGGAGGAATAAACTTAAATTCTGTACTCAAACATAAGTATATATATATATATATATATACATACAAAAATAAATAAAAACACACACATATATATATATATGTTACATAGATAATATTTTTACCTCACGCCCCGCTTGCATCATAACCCAAATTTGACAAAATTGTGAATCCTGTGACTCTGGTTAAATATTATTTTTAACCACAAATTGAAAAATTAAATCCTTGTAACTTTCTAACTTTTAGTGAAATCTATAAGTGTGAACGATGATTTTTTGCGGCGCAGAATTCCTTCATGCTCACTCTGTCTATCGTTCAGAATAGTATTATTTTTTTCTGTGAAAGAGATCCCAAAGTGCAGAATAAATTATATAAGACGGCCTTAGGTGGAGTCTCTTCTTATCCTGACTCACAAAGCAATTTCGACGTTGACCTTTAATGACACATGCTGACTTGAAGTACTTGAACCGAGCAAGATTTATGTGTTTAATTTCTTTTAAAGTACAGTTTTTCACTAGCGTAGATAAGTTTCATGTTCGATATGTTTACTACTGGAAAAAATAGCACTCGATGATGTGCTATCTGTTATGGCCCTAAAGCATATGTAATAAATTCTTTTTCGCCAGTAATTGGAACTGAAATGAGAATATATGATAGATATTTTGTAATATTCAGTCAAAGTAATTTCTCCTAAAGTTGTATGCCTTATTGTGACCCAAAGTTGGCTACAAATTTCATCGCAAGAGATTCATCGAAACCCAGTTTCTCTTCCTATTTGCTGGATATTAGTTTCAAAATCTGACGAAAGCAATCGTCCTTTGTTATTTTGAGCCAGGCTGTTGGATGCATATGGTCACTACCTCGGCATTGTGCCAAGTCCAAAGGACTTTAAATAGGCTTTTGATATTGAGGCCATCGCTTATAGCAGTATTATTCATAGGATAATAAACAATAACCTGATTATATGGACACATAAATCTGTTGTTTCTAAGTAAATTAATTAATGCTTATTTATCAATTCATAAATAAAAGCTGAACCAGTCTAATAATCTACCTCTCCCCTGTTGTCCCGTTTCGCGACCAATCCCATTTCGGGAACATCAATCAGTTTGATGTGACAGTTGGCAAGCGGTGGACCGACGGATCCATTGCATCGCCATTCTCCAATTATGTTTGTGCAAATGCCACTACTGGTCTCCGTGGATCCGTATCCTTCATAAACCTTTATAAGATATGTAAACGGATCCATTTGAAGTTAGTTTAGACAAAATAGGGAAAGATAGAGATAAGTAACTATTCATTACAGGACTTCTTCAACTCAGTTCATACGGAAAGAACAAAGGAATTTATAGATAGAAATCCAATTTTTTTACCGAAGAGAGGATTAAATGAAATTGAGCCCTAAGAGGTCTTGCCTATGAAGTATACATCAGACTTCCTCTTATTCATTTTTAATACAAAGAGGTTGCTAAAATGCGCCTGTCACGGTTGTATTTATGGGTAAAAAAGCAGTATAGGTTTATTTAGACACTTTGGATATATGACTCGATAGAAACCATATACAGTTATTTGGTACTGTCAAAATTTAACTATTTGCTATGATACTCTAGCAACATTTATCCGCTTAAAATAATGTCTGGAAGTGGAATATTTATGTTGTATGAAGAAATTACGTCGTAGGGGAAGATTTGGAGAATATTTTGAGGAGCATATCAAAATTGCTACTGTTGGGAAAGAGTGACAAATTAAAGGGCAAGTTATTAACTTGAGGACCTGCACATATATAAATCGTCTTCTTCGAGGTGCAGGCTCATGATTTATTCACAGCAAAATTTGTATTGCGAAGTTATTTGGCCTGTACTCTAAAATAAGAATGTAGCTTCGGAAGGTACTCGCATGGAGAATAAGCCTCTCCTCAGCTTGAATGAAATAAAAAATATTGATAAAATCTGCAAAAAGCAAAACGTCAGGCAATCTTTCTCCAATACTTTTAATGAATGCTCGCTAGACTTGTCTTCTAAAGTTCGAGGGTTAGATTTTATATGGCATCATAAAAAAAGAATTTTTTCTTTAGTTTCACTGTATCTCGAACCCCAAATATGTGTACTTTTTTTGATAAATTGGAACCCCGGATTTATGTGTTTTTTGCTAATCTCATGCAGGTCGTACCTAATTGATGCTGGCGTGGAAGCATTGTCAGAAGAAAACTTCTATTCCGATTAATTAATATTGGATAGCGTACATAAAAAGCAAATAACTTTTGAGCGTTTAACTCATTATCTAGTCGGTTAGTTGAATTCCATTCTGCTTTAGGATATTTCATAATATTCTTCAACTCTATACATAAAGTGTATCGTTAAATTTTATGTGAATGCAGACAGATTCTCCAGAAATCCCACTATATCTTACGAGGTCGAGGAATGGTAAAGTTCACCTAAAGTGTCATACTGATATTACCCAAACTATTTAAAGTAATAGTCCTAGTTACTAGATGATTCTGGATAAAGGATATTTATATGTATATACTAAATTGCAATAAATAAATGCGCCAACTTAATTATTTTATGAGAGGTAGGACTGGTAGTCTCGAAACTCTACTTAATTTTTTTTAACGTAATTTTTTTTTAGAACAAAACCGACGGTAAATTCAAATAAAATATGAGGCCTGTATAAACTAATAATTTCTGGGCAGTCTTTTAATTAATTAAAGATACAGATCTCCTGTTTTTATATTGAGTTTACGAAATTATTAAAATGTCCAGTAGTAAAAGTTTAGATGAACGTACTATCAATAAGAAAGCAAATGCAATAAAAAATTATAAAAGAAATTGCAATTGTGTTCTTTAACTGGCCTAGCTGATAGTATGAATAATATTGTTATTTCTGAATAATTATACAATTGATAAATAAACTCGATTTAAGTTAATCTAAGGTATGAAGAACAAGATAGTCACTATGGTCGCGGTCTCCTTTCGTTCTATAGAAATCGTTTGACTTCGTTTCCGCAACCTAGTCATATTTTCAGGAAGGCCTATGGAATTCATCTTGTCCGGAGTCCATAGTATGCATGATAATTTACGGAGTCGGACCGTGGATTTGATACATTCCCAGACCTTTCGCCGGCATCGTCAATGAGCATTGCTATTGCTAGCACCCAACTACGACTCGCCAAAGAAAGAAGTAAAGTTGATCCTTTTATAAATTGTCAGCTAAACTGTTCTGGTACCCCTCCCTCTGTCCTGGTCAATTCATCTTTCCTATATCCTCCTAACATACCTTCACTATCATAATTTATTGCTTATTCCTCTAAGCCTAGTTGAGGTGTGCCCTTTTGACCGGATTTAGGGAGACACATTCACACTGTCCGTTAGTTTTCTGATTCCCGCCCTGTGCTCGGAGTGCTGCTCAAATACTGTCGCTTAGTCTGTAATCCCCATCCTGCACGTCCTGCATAGAATCCGTCTCCTATCTGTCTGTTTCAGGGATTTCACTCGATCGCTGCTACTCGAGGCGCTATGTTCTACACTCTTCCTCAAGCCTTTGCTAACATATCTCCTCCAGCCTCTAAAGTCTGGATCCACAAGTAGCATGGAAGCCTAACTTGACAACGCAGATTCCCTTATCATTGTGTAGCACGGGCCGCGAGTACATTCCATGGTCAAGCCTGTACTTCACGGACTATGTCTATGATCAAACTCTACTATTAATAGACGACTATATATCTTCTCTTCCGCATCTCTTACTCGTCTATCCATAATGCCAAGTCTATGACATTCCTATGCCCTAATCTTTCATGTGCCAAATCCCAAATGTTATGGTTGTTTAGATTACTTTGAGTAGGCTCAATTGTTCCTTTGTGGTCTTCTAAAGATTTATTTTCCTATCATTAAAATATTACCTTGATCTAGTCGTCTTCTTTTTGTTGAACTTGCTGTTTCCTGATCTCCTCTAAGTTTGCATAGACAGCATGCAAAGTTTTCGCTAATTTTGCCTTCTCGAAGTCCCCTTTCATTAAAATTCCTTCAGTCAAAATATCGGTGGCATCTCGGATCTTGCATTTTCTTGTATTTTCACCATACGCAGCCAGCCTTTTCGTCGATTTCCAAACGATTTCGTGTCCCGTCCGTGTAATGCGTTCCGATATTTCACATCTGATAGTATCCATTTGATTTCAGGGTCTTTGGTTTTTCTTGATCCATAGACTGATCTTTCTTCCTGCTTCACCAATATGCTTCTTCTGGTGAAGAGTATTGTCTCTTTCTTTGTTATCTTTTTGATATTCCAATAAGTAACGTTGTTTTCAGTCGCAATTTTGGCTCAGTTCATAGGAGGGCTTGCATATCCGTTTTTGGTCAACCTCCCGATTCCTGATTTTATTTTCGTAATATCCACGTTGATATCTACTCCATATGACCTCTATATTTCTTTCTATAAATTATCTGGGATACCCGGTACTAAGGCAAATCCAAGTTAGTTCTTTCAACTCTTTGTCCCAGAACTCCATGTCCATTAGTCTGAAGATTTTAATGATCAAACTTCTCAGTATTCCGATTTTCAGTCTGTATTTGTGATGAGACTGAAAATTGAGGATTATTTCCGCATGTGGGGTAGAGGGAAATGAGC